CGAAACTGGCCTAAGTTGGCGCGTCTCTGCTCCCTGGTTGGGGTCCGAAAGACGATGAACACCTTTGGCTGGATACACTTGTTTATATGGCTAGGAGCCGAGCTCAGTGGCGTTCTTGCTGTGAGTTTCTTTGTCCCACCCCATCTCTCTTAGCCTCCCCCTACAACCACGATCTCATTATTTAGTATTTTAAAACTTTGCATAGGAAATTACCTTTTTGGCTGCATAGGAGCCAGCTTAAAGCTTACCGAAAGGACACACATCCATTACGGGTAGCTCGGCTGGCTTGTATCTTTTGCACTTTTCCAGTTTTTATGTATTGCGGCACAGTAGCTGAGATATTTCCCGCCTCTAGCTAACGTGTATATTTTGTGTGTGGGTATTCAAATGCCTGTACCACTGAACATGTATAAACGGAAATTATCAAGTAATTGGAATTTAGGAAGGAGCAATTGAATGGATTACTGCACATTGCTATGTTTGGACGAGCAATAGATGACGTATCTCCAGGCCATGTTCCGACATACAGCCGCAGATGACGCGCGACTACTGATAAATACATTGCAATACAACATAAACAAAAACACTTATAATTTGGAGACGGTCATTGAGAATTCAGCAGAATTTTGCGAAGGCCAAAACAACGAGACATACCAGCTCTAAATTTCCTTTTCGCGCAACAGAGGCCCAGACGAATCCGTCAAGTAGTAGATAACCGGGTTGAAGATTTGACCCGAGCATGCAATTCATGTCAATGCTAGGGCAACGGTCTCATACGCGATCGGACCGTTCTAGCAATCAATGATGAAAGTACGACAAAGCGGCTTTTGCGACAACGCAGCCTATCGCTCCATCAGTGCATTAGTAACTGCAACATTGAGTCCTCATTCACCCATCAATGCCAACAAATGAAGCTCACAGCAGATGCAGATTGGTGTGCCGTTTCCAGATGCGAGGCAGTGAAGGCTACTAACGTGAGGCAAGAAATCTGCAAATATTGCGCCACTTGACTACCGAGCAACCGCGAACTGTGTCCGGCGTGGGTACGAAATGGGCCAGATGTGGTAAAAGGAACCGGTGTGCTCGTTGCGGTCAAGCAACAAATCCAAGTACGGCCGTTCTTAAAAGTCCCCCACAGGTGCAGAACATTCAATCAGGAACGTGTCACATTGGGTACCGCAAATATGTGCATAAACAAGAAAATTGATTGAAAGCAAAGCCGTACGATTCCAATTAGACACAGGTACTATTGTCAACATTCTACCAAGGGAACCTCATCTCAGAGTGTACGTTCGATTCAATCAAGAATGCCTGCGCATATGGAATATTTCTAGATTTCATTTAAATGGCTCAGATAGTATCAAATACCTTAACCCTAGTGACGGAGCCTCACATCAACCGGAGTTTGTGATCGTGCAGGAGGAGCTCACGTTGATTCTCAGCATTGATTTGATCCGGTGGTGCGGTTTTCTTCCTTTTACTCACGATCGTTTTGTGTATGTTTACCAGGGAGAAACCGATACTCGTGACCAGTATCCGTCACTGTGTAGCCCAGGTTTCAGAACGTTTGAAAGAACCGCCCACTTGTCGTGAGATCGTTTGATACGACCGATAGCGCTAACGGCTAGGAGAGTTCCATTTGCCCTGCGTGACACGTTCTACACTGAATTGAGATAATTAATGGGAGAGGATGTGGTTGCCAAAGTTAACAAGCCGACCGACTTTGTTATTCAGTTCGCAATTTTTATGAAGAAGACGGACGAACTACGCTTGTGTGCTGATGGAAAACCGTTGAATGAGACTTTGCGTAGAGAGCATTACGCGCTACCAACCTGAGAAGACATTTTGCCGTATTTGGCCGAAGCTGTGTTTCACGAAGTTAGACCTCTCTTCGGCATTCTGGCTTGTGGTTCTAGATGATGAATCCAGTTTTCTTACTATCTTTGCAAGACCATTCGGGCGTTATCGTTGGCTGCTTTTACGGTTTGGTTTGAAGGTGTCGAGTGAAATTTGTCCAAAGCGATTAGTGCAAGCGGTAGACGATTTAGATGATGAAACTTGCATGGCAGATGACATTTGATCCATAGCTCAAAGTAAGAAGAGCAATACGCTAATCTCCACGGTTTCTTGCAGCGTTGTGTGCGAAAGAACATCAAGCATAAACGTGAGAAAATGCACTTCGGAAAGACGGGGTGCTTTTCCATGGACATTTGCTAACAACTCAAGGGCTAAGGGTTTATCCTGGAAAAGTAAGACAATTCGTGGGATGCCGCCACCTAATGATGTGAAGGGAATCCATCACACAGTATTAGCAACGCGCTTGTATTCAGGTAATGCCATCCAGCGCAGCCTTTGTAGGTAATGTGTGTCAGTAGCCCAGGCGGACTTTTTGCTGTTCTCTTTCAGAATAGAAAACTTTTGAATTTCCGCAGTCGAACATTCAACGTAAGTAAGCAGCGCTATGCGCAGGTTGAGAAGGAGATACTTTGGATAGTCTATAAGACGGAGTGTTGCAACGAGGAAGAAAGATAACATAGTATACCAAGCACAAAGCACTTATGTCAATAGCCAGGAAACCGCTGCACGTCGTTCCTCGTCACCTTCAGCGTAGGCTTATCTGGCTTTAGTATTAGGACTTGGATATTGTGTATACGGCTGGTGCAGAGATGTTTACCGCGGATACACTGTCAAGAGCTTATCTGCCGGTATTCTAGCATAATTCGTAAGAGATCGAATCAGTAATCTTAGTACAGCGCCTGGCAGTGACAGAAGATGGCCTAAAATAAATAACGCGCCACACATAGGGAGATGCAACACTTTCAGCTTTGTGAGACATTATTTTCAATTGTTGGCAAAAGAAGCAACTTTCGAAGGAACTAACACTCTACTTCAATTTTCGAGATGAATTCTCCGTCTGCAACGATAGGATGTTCAAGGGAGGACGTATTATGCTTCTTTATCTCTCCGAGGGGAAATGCTGAAATACGTTCATCGCGCTCACCTTGGTGTCAACTATACCATTAACCGAGCAAGAGCATTGCTTTTTTGACCAGGATTGACAGAGCCAATAAGAGATTGTGTATCGAATTGGGAGGCATGCCGTTCATGCGAAATACGGCAGACGAGGGAACGAGTGATGTTACATTATATCCCCGATCGACCGTGGTGGAAATTGTGTTGGATTTATTCAGTGATAACGGGAATGAGTACTTACTGACGGTGGATTACTATAGTGATTACTTTTAAATCGATCTACTCACCACTGCGACCACCGAGGCAGTAATCAACCAGGTCAGATGTCTGTCCGTGTTGCATGGTATACTGGAGGCGCTGGTTTTCGACGATTTGCCCCAGTTTACCAGTGCTGCGTTCCAGGCGTTCGCAACCAATTGGGAAGTTGTGTACTAGCAAACCAGGTCATGTCCCAGTCAATCCAATGGAAAGGCGCAGTCGGCACTGAAGCAAGCCAACCGACGGTTTTCAAAGGCTGGAGCACCCGTACCTCATGCTACTGGAGAATCACAACACCCCTGTAACGAATATCGGTTTGAGCCCGATGTAGCGCCTATAAAGCCGATTGACTGGAACTCTTATGCCAGCCTCTGCCACACTTTTGTGCGCAGTTTTGTTACTGCGTGAGAGGTGATAGGACAATCTTTGACGACGACTGACTAATCAGAAACGACACTATGACCGCGGTGCACGGGTACTACCTGAGCTGACAGTGGGGAAGGAAGTGTGGGTTCAATCATTACCCGATAGCCAAGAGCGCCAGGTCATTTGCAATAAAATTTGGAGGGAAAACGTTCAGAAGAAATCGAGTGCATTTGGGACGACAACGGAGCAACAATCTGGATTGGGAGTGGAGTGCCAGATTGCGTGTGGCATTGAGACCAGCTTCGCAGATACAGCGAAGACCATGCTGAGTGGCAAGATCTACGGTGTGGATAACAATATGGAGACGCGAGACCACGAAAACTGGGAGGATGTGGATGTAGTGTCAGATCAGATTGCGCAGATGGACCAACTGAGCGAGTCAGCGAGCTAATGCGAGATGGGCGGGACGGATTCGATTACTGGACTCGGATTGGCTGATACTCGCGTGTGTGATTCACTGTTTATCTGAAGCAAATGAGGAACCTCATCGACTCAGACGGATCGTTGTTTATGGACTTGAATGTGCTCTTATAAGTTAAGATGTTGGCTTGCTAATCGTGCTGTAATTTTGCCAACTTAACTTTGCTTTCGATCGCTTCTCCCTGAAGGACTTGGTTTTGCAATTATTACTTAGCTCACCATTTGGTTTTTGACATTATATCAAGTTAAATGCTATTACCTGATACTTTATTCTTCAGTCTGTACATGGACGGTGGCGAATGAATTGCATTGAGTCCATGACTTTGAGCTCTTTAATTCGTTTAGCGAATTTGTGGAACAAACTTTTGGGACGATATTCAAAATTTTTTATATGAACCTAGATAGTCCAGTTTACTACTTATCCGTGGATTCTCTTCAGTTAGAATTAATGATGGCTCATTATGTCCGGTCATCATCATGGATCTACCATTGTGTCTATATTTCTTCCAGTGATGGCGTTCATTGTTTGATGACTTTTAGTAAACGGTACTTAGTTAAATATTTATAAGTGGGTTGTCAGTGCACTGGGTGTAAATGAACTACTTGTGTTAATTAGCTTAAGTTATAAAAAGTGAAATTTTAAATACACTAAGAAACGTCAAACCTCTAGCCTATACTGAGCCTGTTGGAGTAAAATCATAGTAAACACTTCAACTAATTTCAAAATATACTTGTGACACTTCACAGGAAATCACTATTATTAACCGCGTAGTCTCAGTGAAAATATATTCAAAGAAAATCGTAGGGAACTTTTTAAACTCCTATTCACTTCGCTCCTCTTTCAAACCGCAGCACAGTAGGTATCAAACAAATTATGGTCCTTTTGTGTTTTTCGATATATTCTTTCGATCATCTATCCACAGGGATTCGGGTATCATGGAAAATGCGACCTCCTGCCAATTGGATCATTAATCATTGCTTGGAAGTGAGGATCAACGTAAGCACATCTGCCGAATTCTACAACTGGGCGCTCAAAATGAAAGTGTTTCCGAGTTCCATCCCCATGAAGTTAGTAGGTTCGCATTTGATAGATTATTTGTAATTAAATTACTGTGAAAACGAGAACTTTTCTTAACCTTGTCATGTCTATTGCGTTGAAATGAAACCAGATTTTCTCTTAGTATTAGGTAACATACCGCAGCTCGTCATGAAATAAAAGAAATGTGCGCTTCACATACTTCAAATTAGTATAACATTATATTTAATTAAATGCGACGAATGCATTTTGGTTTGTGCATTCAATTTCTCTGGTGCTCACAGGTTGCGGGTTCTAAAGCAAAAATTAGCATCAATGAAATAATCGTGTTGTATGCGAACATCTGTACATGTGCCACAAAACCTGCTTCGCGGTCACTGAGGCAACATGTCTGACAAAATACATCAGTGGGATTACCGCAGGTACCATGAAGAGTTTGTAAGAAGCATCTTAATCACCTAATTTACAACTGATCTGCCTCCTTTGGATGCTCCTTTGTACGGCAACTGTTATAAGTGCCTGGCTTGTGTAAGAGAGAACTAAAATTTTGTAATACTTCATATAACCAATAGTCTACGTCGGGGCCTAAACTTCATTCTACTGAATAAAAGACGAACAATTTTCACTTCCTTCAATTCGAAAGTAAATGTGTGGATTGTCATGGTTCGGAATACCCGTCGCTCGGGTTGGTAGTTAACGTTTTGATTCGTTCTCCGAGCAGAGTAATTTAATGGCAAAAGTTACACCAGTTCCCTAAGTGACATCTTCAGTGCACTGCTGCGTGAGATTTTCATCTACACAGCAGTGCACTGAAGATGCCACTAAGCGAAGTGGTAAAACATTTGCCATTCAATTACTCAGCTCGGAAAACGAATCAAAATGGTAACCGACTTCAAAGCAGAATTTAGGGAACACGCTGTGTAAACGGCTTGCTGTTTTCTGGCTGATACAAGAACAAACATATTAATAGTTAGATGTTGAAATGTAAGTATCTAGTACTTACTGAGTATTTGTCAAGATGCTCGTGGAAACTGCATATCATTTGGTTGGTATCAACCTGTCATTTCTTTCATCTAACCAATTCAGTCAAAGCTTTCGGTGAAACTTTCTTCTAAGTTGTCGGAATTTCCGTTAGGTGATTTGCCTAACTCCCGAAATTATTTACACAAAAATAATCTTCTTCCGTCGGGTTCGATAAATAATTGCAAATATTTGGCCATATAAGTTTGGTGACCAGGTAAACGATTTTGCTTTCGAACAAAATTGTTTAGTTTCGTTTTTAGCCACAACTTATTGCCACTAAGAATACAGCCATTTTAAAAATCGCTGTATTATCGTGCATTAATCTGGTTGAAGAAAAGTACGTTTTCGTTTATCGTGCTTTTCCTTTCATAGTTCCTCAAAAGCCGCAGTCTCGTTCTGTTCCAAAACGGAATGCACCTGGTGGAATATAGAAGAAACTTGCTGTGTTTGGCATGCTAGTCTGCAGTATTTGCATCAGTCAACATCCACCAATGAGACCGTTCTTCACTCGTTGGAGGATAGCACTATTGAAAATATGAATGAATTGAACATTCAGATTGGGTCGCTCAGTCAAAGTGAATGGATAATGCAGTTACCAGGTAAATGTCGCTTTTATGCGAAATAATTCAAGAATGTTTTTCTCTAAGCCAGATTTGGCCAATCAGCAAATAGTTGCAATCATCGTTATTCAGCCTGTGGTATAAGAGTTTGTTGAATACCACACGGTAGTTATGTGTACAAATAAACATTAGGAACTGAATTAATAATTTTCATTTTACTAAGCTAAACAAAATGGTCGGCGGACTTGGGTTAAAGTGTGTGTGTGTGGGTAGTTTAAATTTTACATGCAGGGGCGGAAAAACAAAATAAATTGGCTCCAAAACACTGAAACAAGGTACACAGTAAGCATAAGTGCACGACCCAAACAACTCTTTCAACTTTACTTATGATATATCTACACAGCACATACAGTACAGACATTCAAAACAAGTCCAAGGATTGCACGCAATATAGAGCTTTCCGGAAAGTTTATTGGTATTCGCTCCTGTCACAAGAAATACCATTTTATAACTGAAGATGTGTTAAACACATGGATTAGAACATTTATCTTCTTAGCAGGCTTATCTGAACAGGTTTTACTAAAAATTGTTGGGCAAATGTTGCTACAACATAACTGCTGAAATATAGCATCCCAGCGAAAATCCAAAACCCGCTCTTGTTTTCTGTTGACTAAGGTAACCGCAGTACACACCGTAGACTTGATCAGCCTATATTCTAGACTTCTCACATGTTGCCTGCCTGGATGAACGATTTAACATGTCAAAAATGATGTGGGAAGTAAAAACCGCTAATTAGGCAATAAAACGACAATTTTCACATTAAGCAAAAGTTTATTTTACCGACTCCGGTGTATGATAAAGCTGGGGATTTAACAGTCACATAGAAAGCAGATTAAGCAGTCGCATTACATTAACTTGTTTTTGTGGATAAAACGAAGCTGCTGTTGCAAGTACCGTTCTCACTTGTCCATAGCTAACCAAAGCGCGCCGCAAAGATGTTTCATAGCATCACGTTTTATTTGGTAGCGTTTCTTTGATATATCATTAAGTAGCAAGAATGAAAATAGAAATGACAGAAATTAGAAGCGTTTTCCAGGATTTACTGGCTATAAAATTAAATCTGATGACTACGATTGTGGCTGAACTTGAATAAGAAGATCTCTGGGGTCTCCCGAAATCCGCAAGACATTGTGGTACTACTATGAAGCCCTAAACGCGCTTACTAATGACTCCGAGAATAGTAAACAGTATAGGCGGAATAATTACAATGAAAACCGCAAACCTGCATGTCGCTATCATAGTTCCATGACCACAACAAATGCGCCTTCTGCCGAGATCCCGAATAACCCATTATTTGTCAACCCCATGCGATTAACTGTGCAATGCTCCATGTTTTCCTTGCAACACACACCATGCCATTGAAACTTGTTCCCGATAACCTTATCTGACACCTGCACCCACGGGCTATTGTGTGAGTTATAGTTTTCCTAACCATGTCTACCTCGTTTCATTCCAACCCGGTTGCAAGATACGATCGCGCCCATACTGCGTAACATGCCTAGGTGCCTCACCACTCGGCATAGATTTTCTCCCATTCTACACCCGCTGTGACGATTGTGCACTCCCCCCCCCGTGCTATTAACCCCACGGGCACCCAGGTCCTTGTTGGTCTTTGATCCCATATCCGCACCGAGACGCGCTACTCTCATTCCATTAGAATGTAATGACACCTTGTATCTTCCTGTGCGCCGTGCCGCAAACCAATGGGATAAAATTTCGTTGACCTTTAATAGAACCCTCGTATTCCTCTGGATCTATGCTGTGTGTCCTTGTTGTTAGGTAGCAAGTGCGCTGACGCTATTTCAGCATGTAACTGTACGAAGACCCGATTGTTTCAGGACTGTGCGGGCGCTGTTGACATATGTAAATATGTATTTGAGTTCTATTTTGTTTAATAGTACCGTAGTTAATGCATCGGCTTCCTTTCTTGCCTGGACCCAGAGTTTTTACGAGTCAATCGAGCCCCAAGCGAATCTGTCGCTTACAAACAGATTGTCAATACTTCATTCTCTTACCTAAAGAAATATTTAGTGCAGGAAAGTTATCTCTTCAGAAAAGCTGCATAGCTGACCCGGCTATTTGACTTGAGGTTTCACATAGGTAATGCAAGTTACTAGGGTGATGGGTGATTAGTAGAACCACATGGCTGTTTCCGTGAGCGATTCTCATTGAAGGTGGATTTGAAGCCTCCAAGTACTTATCCGACACTTCTTCATCTGGACATGTAGCAAATTAGGCTGCAGAATATTTTGACCAATGAATTAGCGTTGTTGTATTTATCCCATCAAATTGTCAAATCTACACAACAATGCGAATATATACTATTGGCGCTATTCAACTTTAACTGAGGACTCTAAGGATAGTGGTATTTTTGAGCTAACAATACTACGACTTTACCCGTTCAGTAAAATTTATAAAATAAGATGTTAATTATATTGAATCAGTTTCATTTTAGCAAGCATCGTACATATATTACCAATGAAGCATTTAGTTACGAAAGCTTCTAAACAATAAACTGCGTAGTTTCCGTTTTTCTTTAATGTTTAGGTTGTCGATGGTCACCATCTGATGTGACGTTACAGAGTCGTTGATTTAATCCAGCATGCATGTTGTAGAATTTAACAATTCATGCTCGTAGCCTGCTGTGGTGAATCTCATGCATATACACTCTCACCTAACTTGTACACTCAAAACAAGGCCGAATTAATTTATGCTAATAAAATCGTTAACTGTTCTTCGCTCCTTCACATCCAAACATTGGTTGCAAAAGTGTGCCAGTGTTAAACATCCGCACAGCAATTATGCTCCTCTATAACCGGATTTGATTCGCTTCGGCACTCACTCGAATCGGATTGACTTATGTATTCAGTGGGCAGTATTTTACTGGATTGTTACCTACTGACCGTAATTCCTGTCAACAAATACTTATAGCAAACTGTTCGCTCACTCACGTGAAACTGTGTTTATTAACAGCTCCCAATCGCATAATTGTTTTCAATAAATGTTTCTGCCCGCCGTTCGACGATACGAGCATTTCTCTTACATAACCATTTCTAAAGAATCTACAACACAACATAGGGCTTTTGATTACGTTCGCCCATCGCTGACACCCAGTCGCTGATATCCACCCAATACAAGGCACGTTAGTGACTAATAGCACATGAACCAACAGCTATCAGTAAAGTAGCCCAACCATGTGTGCTTTTGTCATTCCTGTGCAAACCTCGTTACGATAACTGAGGATAGGCGGGCAACAGCAACACGGAACTTGAAGGGCACTCATCACTGACCTCAAGTGATCGGACAAATGCAGTTTTCAGTTGCAGCATTAGCGGTCACCGAACATACTAACACCTAGCGGTAAATGTGGAGAATCCAATCGCACTTAAAATGGTCGGGATAAGACTGTTTCGCACTAAATGTGCTAGTGCATTCAGCCTCAAGTACGCTGGTTTAGGTCAATTAGAACCAAGGAAATAAAAAGATGTCGCTAATGCACTGTAATATCACCGGATATACAAAAAATTCCAGTTGTTAAACAAATGGACAGATGAGGAAGTTCAGGGTTTTGCATCCGAATAGAACAAAACCGACTTTGGTAGCAACCCTGTGAGCTCGCTCCCAACTTCATAGGAAGAGTCAATCTGGTTAACAGCCTCACGGTACCTGAATACTGAATTCTGTATTATGGAGCATGTAGCGATGCATTTTGTACAACTCTTTCGAAATATGGTGAAAACGTTATAAAACTTTTCAGCCATGAATTTCGTTGCCGTTCCCATGTAACATCTAAAATATCTGACTCACGGGATTTCAGGACTCACAATTGTGACATGTCATCGTAAGTGTGCAATCGTTCGCTGAATCGAATAGTGATAAAATATAAATCTAACAACGTTCTGAACTGCTGCACAAACGTTGCCTGCATCAAATGTTCAGGTAAACTGTTCCAAGTATTTACCACTCCCCGTTCGAAACACCGTGGATGGGGAACACGCTTCACATCCGGCACGACAACTTTGTATCTGTGTCCGCGTGTGTTACATAGCCCTCATAAGTGGAGTATTGGCCTCAACATGTGGAAGTCACCAATATGTAGAATACGGTAGGTCATAATGAGGTCGACTTGTACCCCACGGTAGAACAAGGTGTACAGTCCTAGTTTCTCGCACGGGTCTTCATACCCCAAGCTGCGTAAATTTGGGATGAGCCTGATAGCAACATGTTGAACCCGCTCGATCTTTTGTGCCTCGCTTCGGGTGATCGGAAAGTAAGCGGGCTTACCGTGCTCTAGCATTGGTCTAATGATGGAAGAAAAGAGGCGAGCGGCAATATCTGCAGACCATGTGCCGAAACTATGTTTGAGCGCCCAAAGCATGCGCAGTCAGTTACTATAGAGCCTGTTCGTGTTGCCCACGGAGTTCAAATCGTAGCGCGAGAACACACCTAGGAATTTCACGGACGGTGCGGGATAGAGCGTTTAGCCGTCAAGCGTGTAGGTTCGGCCGCCAGCACTCTACCCAAGGCTCATAAATACAGACTTGGCTGGTTTGACCTGGAGAATAACTAATGCAGACCATGTGGATAGGCACTTGAGGTCTTGCTGAAGTAGGACACAGTCATCGGGAGCATCAATTTTTCCCCAAATCTTTATGCCCTCCGCAAACAAGGCACACGTCGACCGGAGAAGCTGAAGTGGATCGTTGATGTGGATCAGGAATACAGTGGGCCCCAGCACAGTGCCTTGAGGCACGCCACTTGTACTGGGATACCAGTCAGTTATATGGTCGTCGACCTGTACCATCCACTTTCGTCCAACAAGAAAGTCACGAATCCACCGGACACATTCAGATTCTCTAAACGAACAACTCAGATTTGATGTAATTGATATTACCCTATTCCTTGGAGATATAACGAAAGACGACCATGACATCGACAGCTCAGAGCCGGAGGCAATCCAGTAAAGAAAAGGCGAACAA